CCCCCCCCCCCCCCCCCCCCCCCCCCCCGCAAATAAAACCCTGCAAAATTCAAACATGCATATTCTGACTTATCTTTTTAGAAGCCGCCCAAAAGGCAGCACTCTACAAACCCTTTCAAAACGACTTTAGGCAGTATAACCCTTTGCTTAAGAGTACTGGGCTTTGGGGATCAGAAGAGACTCCCAAATTTAAAAGTAGGTCTGTCATTTAGTGGCTCCATGACTTTGGACAAGTTACTTATTCTTTCTGCATCTAGATGTCCCATCTGCAAAGTGAGATTATGGTACATACTTCATAGCGTTGTGGAGGATTAAATGGCATATGCACATAGAGCAATTAGCACGGTCCCTGACAGTAAGTCTTCCATAAATATTACACAGTAAAAGTAGAAGTAGTAATAGAAAGTTTCCTCTTCAGTAAAATCGCCTCCCAGCATTGTGGCAAAGTTCTGACGCAAAAGTCTTTTAAACTGTAGTACTGGACAAAGGTAGGGTAATTCCTATACACATTGCAATATTTGGGGCAAGTTCTAACCTCACTTTTATAAGATATGCTTCCCCTCGCCCGCCTGCACTGGGGGTAATAACACTGAGTATTAATTAATAGGAAATAAAATCACGGATACGTCCCCCGAATACAAGCAGCTGACGCCCAAAAAGCAGAAATGAGATCAACACCCGCAGAGCGGACCTCGATAATTCCCTGGAGTTCACCTCTAACGGCCCCCTCCGCTTGGAGCGCGCAAGCGTACACAGAATTCGTTCCCCTCTCCCTCGTTCCCCCGCCTCCGACTGCCCCCCCGCGTCTGCTCAGCACGCAGGCGCGTCTCCTCAAATCCTACCCCTACCCGCCTCCTCTTTCTCTTCATTTCGTTCCCCCTCCTTTTCCAGCACCTCAGCAGGTTCAAACTCTTCTCGGTGAGAGTGGCGGCGATCGCGAGGTCACGTGATGAGCATCCTGCTGCCCAACATGGCGGAGTTCGACACCATCTCTGAACTGGAGGAGGAGGAGGAAGAAGAAGCGCCAACGTCGTCGTCGTCGCCGTCGTCGTCGTCTGTATCTGGGCCCGACGATGACGAGGAAGAGGAGGAGGAGGAGGAAGAAGAAGAGGAAGAAGAGGGGGAGGAAGCACCACCCCCGCCTCGGGTAGTGAGCGAGGAGCATCTGCGGAGATATGCCCCCGACCCCGTATTGGTGCGGGGCGCCGGCCACATCACTGTGTAAGCAAGGGGGGACAGGGGCTTTGAAAAGGCTGAGGTTTGGCGACAGAGGAATGAGAAGATGATCGAGGGGCCTGTGGAGTGGGGGAGGGCTGTTGAGGCTTACAGTTAGGAAAGGATACCTGGTCTAAATGGAGAAACCGAGGGTGAATGGGTGTAAAGAAGTGAGGAGAATGTAAGTGTGAAGCACCAACGCCGGGTAAAGAGTGAGTATAGATCAGGGAAGTTAGGGGGTTGGGAGCCAGAGGGATTGGAGTAGTGATGTCTCCTTTCTTTTATGTATGCTGGCAAGTGAATAATATTTCTACTGCAGGATGTACCAGAGGGTTTTTAGCTGCCGAGATTGGTGTCTAGTTGGAAAACGGAGACTGCTGTGACATGTGACAAGAATTAGGCTTGCATTCTTCAAAACAGAAACATGATATATTTTGTAAATTATAGAATATCCATCCACCCACATATTCATCCATTCTTCCTATCTAATCCTTACGTGAATTAATACAATAATCCTTTCCCTGTTTTGAGCACTACTCATTCTGACAGTCCTTAAATATCACATCATTAGAGGTTCAGGTTGAGAGGCTATGGAAAGTAAAAAGAGCAATAAATTAAGAGTCAGGGCTGTTGGATGCTAATCCCAATTTTGCTTCTTACTGGCCCTGTGACCTTGGGTTGCTCCCCATTTGTGGGCCTCGATTTCTCCATCTGTAAAATGAAGGGCTTGGAGTAAACGGTTTCTAAAGCCTTTCAGCTCTGAGATAATTTAAGATATCACCAGGGGATTTTGTATGCCCATATACTAAATGTACAAACACTAAATATATATGGAAATTGGTCCTCCAGGAGCTGAGGATGATTTCTTGAAAACTTATCCAGGGTGGCTTTTTAAAAAATTGAAACCTTGGATCATATATGAGAAAATAAAATGGGAAGGGACTTCATAACATAGTAGTTGCAAAGCAAAAAAAGACAAATTGATGGTTCTCTGGGCTTTGAAGAGTGCTTCCTCATTCTTTATTTGCTTGGACTGTAAATACTTGAAAGTTTGAGTATTGTATCATGTTCATCTTCTTAACTGTGCTTTTACTGCATTTTCAAACTGGGCCTTTTTCCCCCCGTCATGTCATGCTGCCTCTAATCTGGATAATGACTCACCTAGCCCCTTTGACTTTGAATTGAGTTCATTCTGTATGAAATCATATAATATGGACTACCTCCCCTATCATGTTAGCTTTTAATTTTTAACATGTTGAGTATTTTGATTGTTATGTACTTTTGTAATCTTTGACATGAAATCTGTTAACAAAGATTTTGAAATTGTGCAAGGGTTTAGGAAGAGTTTTAGACCTGCTTTTTGATTAGGCAATTTTAAGACAATTTTTCTCATGCAAGAATTTTGCAGATAGTCTAAGATGTTCACCTGCCAGCTTACTGCATTGTTTTACTTCCAATACTGGGGAGACAATTTATTACTCAAACTAGTTATGATTCTGGCACCAAAGATTACTTTCATGCAGATTATTTCATGATTGAACAGAGAAAAGGTATCTTATTCCAGTTCATAATTTTATACTCCAATACTCCACACTCACCCTTCTCCCATTATTTTCTAAAATTCAGACGATGGAGAAGGAACAATGAAACAGAATTTAAGTTTCATTTGTGGTTCCATTGTACACTTCACACAACCATGATGAAGTACTTACAACCTATTTCTTCTTTAGAAGAAGAGCACTGACACTTGCCATACCCAGGCCCTTGTGGTAGATGTAATGTTCTTCCAAGCTTAAAAGTTCTGGAATTAGGAATGTGAAGTAGTGTTGATAGTAACTGTTGGTTTTAATTGACTAAAGACAAAACCTGAAAAACAGCAAACCACTATTTGAATCACTGACCAATGTATGTAGTTTTGAAACTTACTTAGTTTTATTGTACACATGCTCTCACCTAGAAAGCACATTTGATGTTAAATGTCTGGGATTTGAAAAAAGATGCAGTGTTTAGGAGAAAGTTTTACTGGAGCTGAGAAATGGGTCTTTCTATGGTAGTAAAGCCTTTCTTGTATCATATAAAGTAAAGTCCTTATGAAATAATTAATCTTATATTCTGAGACATCTAAAATATCAGCTTCTGTTTAATTTCTTTCTGGCATAGGAGTGTTAGAGTTGCCCTAAACTGTATGCCCTATCTGAATGAAATATTTCTTATTCTCTCCCAACGCTGAATTTTTTCCATTCTTTGTGCAGTCTTCTATTCTGTAGAGAATTTGTGTCTTTTCAAAGTTTAAAATTTGAGAGTCATCACCTCAAACTCAATATATCTTCAACGCAACATTTTTTTGTCCCCACGTTGGCTGTGCTTTCCAGTTCCCCCATTTCTGACCCTGATACCATTCTAATCTCCTAGGGCAATATTTAATATCTTTGAATCATTTTGACTCTTCCTTGTCCTTGAGTTGCCCTATACCAGTCTGTCCCAGAATTATGTCATCATACCTTTCAAAATGTATCTTAAATTTTTCATTTTCTCCATTCCTATTTGGCACCACTCAAGTTTAGGTTGCCATTATTTCCTGCTTAAGTTATTACTACAGTCTGCTGCCTCTCCCCACTCCAGTGCGTCCTGCATGCCTGTGCCAAACTAATTTTCTTAAAACACAGTTGAATCATGTCACTTTCCTGCTGCCAACCTGCACTGGATCTTAATTAGGTCTGAGTTCCTGTGCCTTCTTCCTCCAACTTTAGAGTTCAAAGAGTCCTTCTTCTTGTCCAGAGCTCACTTGTGCCTTCCATTCCAGCCTCTTCCTAGTTCTTGCTCCATCAGGTAGTCCTGTCTCTCCAATACTACTTCTCTCTGCTTTTTCACTAGTTCAGCCTGTAAACATATTCAGTCTCTCTAGTTTTTTAAATACAAAATAAGACAAAAGCCTTCCTATACCCACATTCCCTTTAGCTACCGTGGAATCTCTCTCTTCCTCCCTTCTCCAAATTTCTTAAGAGTAGCTCTATTCACCATATTTATTTCCTTTTCACCTCTCTGGGATATAGATTCTGCTACCACAGAGGAGCTGGCCTTAACTGAGATCATCTTGACCCTGTGGTTGTTAAATCAGTGGGCATCTTTTATTCCCTATCTTTCTGGTCTTCTATGCTGACACTTAAGATGACTTCCTCTTTCTTGGAGGCTTCTACTCCAGGGTTCACAAACATGCAGGCTTTCAGAAGCAAGGCAGGTCACAGAAAATGGTGCAGCATAAATAGTGATGGAGACTTAGTTCAACTGGAACATCTTGCCTAAGGTGTTCAAATTCTGATTTAAAAAAAAAAAAAAAACAAGGACAAAAAACACTTGACTCTCCTGGTTCTCCTCCTACTTTTCTGGCTCTTCTGTAACTGTCTTATTCTTGGGCTCCTTTTTCTCTCTTGCATCTATAAATATCAGTGATCTCCAGAGTTTTGTTCTCAACCCACTACTTCTATTATTTATTCCCTACTTTCCCTAGATGGTCTCATCTTACCTCCCATGGTTTCAGTTATCTGACATCTCCCAAATATGTATCTCTGTACCATACTCTGCTCAGGCTCTTTTCTGGGCTTTTTCACATGATGGCCCACTGTCGTCTTAAATTCATCATATTCAACAGAACTCATCTTTCCATGCCCCCTCACACCCCACCCCAAACTCTCAAAACATTCCTCCTGTTTCTGTATTCCCCATCTCAGTTGAATGTACCTCCACCTATCACATTCATTACCCATCCTTTGTTCTCCTTCCCGCTCACACTTCCCACAGCTAAGCAATCAGCAAATATTAACAGTACTTGTTTATGTCCTAAAAATTTCTTCTTTTCCTCCCTCCCACCACTTCCCTGATTCATGCCCCTTCACCACCCTAACTAGTCATCTTGCCTTCATCCCTGTCACCCTGACATCCATCCTGCAGCCTGCTGTTAGATTAAGACACCAAAAGTGCAAGTAACCAAACCACTTTCCTGCTTAAGATTATTCTGTGGTTTTCTCTTCACCTGCAGGATAGAGTCTAAGCTTTATAACGTGGCATACAGAACTGGACCCTGCCTATCAGCCTAATCTCCTGTCATTTCTCTTACTGCTTGTACATTCCTCTTAACAGTATGCTGTTTCTTACCTCATTGCCTCTGTCCAAACTGGGGCCTCTATCAAGAATGCTAATACCTACCTCTCCTCACCCCAGCTCTCCATATGTCACCACCTCCTGCAAGTCCTCTCTGTCCCTGCTAAACTGTAAACTACAATGGCAAGAACAATTTCTGATTGCCTCTGAATCCTTAGTGCCTAGCACAGAGCCTGGCATGAAGTAAGTTAAATAGATATTTGTTCACTTTAGGAACACTCAGTGTGCCCATCGTAGTGCAAACTATGCTATAGGCCCTCAACAAGTACTAGTTAGTTGAATCACACTGTGGTGAGTACTTGTTTCTGAACATAGATATATATGAATACAATAATATCACCAGTCCCAGTGATGGGGTTTATGGCATGGCTTTACTTCTGAAAGCTTTGTGAAGCTAGCTCTTATGTGTCAGAGTACCCCTGTTTACTTGTATCATCTTAATGTTTTGGCTTTCTAGTTAATTTAACAAGATATTAATCTTTTAACATGTAACTAATTATAATTTCTTAAGAAGTATAATGACTTAACCACACTAATTGTAATTGCAATTCTGAGATAATGACCATAAATAGATATATGGAAATCTTTTTCCAAATTTTAAGATATTATAGAAACAGAAATAATGAAATGTTTCAGAAGTATTAAGTGCTTCAGAAATACTATACTTCTGAGTGATATAAATTAGTATCTATCACTTCTTGATATTTGTAGGGTATATATTTGGATCTATCATATTGAAATGCAGAAAAACAACGTCTTGTGCAATTTTTTCCTTATTTATAGACATAAACACACTCTTTATATTACTTAAAATATATATATTTACTCTTGGTAGTACACCTGTATAGAAGTTAGTAGATAAGATAATTTTATCAATCCCTGAGAATTGGTAATCTGTCTCATTAAAATTAATCTAGAAAAGATATAGAATTGAAAAAAGATGGCCAAATTTGCCAAACAGTGCATTTCTGCCAAAACTTAGAGAGCACTACACATATGGATATTTCTGAAATCAGGGGACGGAGTGCCTTTCCTATAAACAGCTGCCTTTGAGGAATTACAGTGATGGATTGTTAATTTGTATCTATATAAGGTGAATATCCTATAACATTTTAGGCTTTGAGAATATTGAAACTATGGTAACTTGCTATTGTACAGTGTGGTAATACGTGATTATTTCCACATGAAAAATTAAAGAGATTTAACTAGAATCTTTTAAAAATCTCTCTGTATTATATGGCATAGCCTTTCCTTCTCCTTTGTATAGTAAATAGAGTTAATTGTACATGCTTCAGAATCAGTATTACTGAAAGTGCATCATTTTCTAGTGAAATTGCGTTTCTTGTTGGCAGAACTTTACTACACCATTTTCTTAAACAACCTGAGCACATGAACTTTAATTTGTGTAAGGTTTTGAAAAGCTAGTGTATAGCCATTTTCAAAAAGATGAAAAACAGTGACAGTGTATAGAGGAAGAGAAGAAAAGGGAAGAGAAACTCCTTCTTTACCTCAGTTTTCTTTACTCCAAATAATTATTTTAATAAATTACAATTTTAGGCATTGAATACACTTGACAAAGAAAATACGACCATTTAGAACCACCAGCTGGGTCAGCTTCAAACACATAATAGATTCAGTAGTAAAGAAGTTGATAAAATGATGGTCTGAGCAGTTCCCAAGTGCCTGTTTGTCAAATGTTGAAGAGCCCCACATCTTGTCTAATGTCTGTTACTGATCAGTAATGAGTACATGAGCTTGTCTAACCTCTATGGACTAAGAGTTCTTAACTTAATGGTTTGTTTATGAAATAGAGCTGAGGTCTTTATTCAGCAACAAGCCCTTTCAATGTTTTTCTGGTAACTACTAAGTGAAATGTTGGGCCTAAGGTTATTTAGGTATTCTTTTTATGTGCTGAGTCTCTAAAGGGGAAAGTTAAGGAAAGAAATCCCTGGTAGGCAAGAAAAGGACTGCTACCACTTATTAGCCAAAGTTACAAGAGAATATCAGGCCTACTTCACATTTTTTGATGTGGATATATGTAGGTCATAAGGGAGTATTTTAAGAATTAATCTGATACTTTCTTTACAATTTCTAATGTATGTTTTGTATTTTAGAAAATGCAATTCCTTTTTATATTAGAAAAGAAACTTAGTAATGTGAACATAGCAAATATTTCTTGAGAATTTGAATACTGGGGGGCCGGCCTGGTGGCACACTCGGTTGAGTGCAGCACTTGGGAGTGCGGCGGCGCTCCTGCTGAGGGTTCGGATCCCATATAGAGACCGGTCTGCTCACTGGCTGAGCGCAGTGCGGGCGTGACACCAAGGGTTGCGATCCCGTTGCCAGTCACGGTACAGGCGCGACACCAAGGGTTGCGATCCCATTACCGGTCACGAAAAAAGACAAAAAGGGAAAGAAAAAAAAAAAAAGTTTGAATACTGGGCTAAGCACTGTGAGGAATTCAGAGAAAACAAAGTACAGGCCTTACTTTACAAAGCTAACAGGAAAATTGCCTTTAAGGTATTGAGATGGAGAAGCAAAGAATAAAAGACAATATTTTACTAACTGTTGAATTGTATTGTACATGTTAGAAGTGGCTGTGAGTGTTCAGAGAAAGGGAATCAGTGAAGGCTTGAGCATGTCAAGGCATTACATGGGGATTGGAACTTGACTTGAGCCTTGAAGGCTGCGTAGGATTTAAACTAGGGAGAGGAAGCGAGAGGAACCATATGAGCAAAACCACAAACCAGCGTGGCAGTGGCAATAGAAAAGAAGGAACTGTTATGAGAATGGTTTCACAGGAGCAAATAAGGGACCACCTGGCTATAAGCAAGGTGCAAAAAATAGGAGAGGGAAGAGGCAAGAATGATACCACAGTCTAGATTAAAGGAAGAGAGCAATGCGCCATTGAGTAGAATTTGAAAAGGGGAACCAGTTTCCAAAAATGGGTAACATTTAATTTTAGGCATGTTTCACTTGTGGTACTATTATTTTGTGGTAAGATATCCAAACAAAAATTCTCAGAATATAATTAGAAATGAGGGTCTAGAGCATGTTTGAAAATATACATTACTAGAGATATAGATTTGATGGTCATCAGAACATAAGTGATTGCCAAAGCTATTAAATACAGATGAACTCTTTTAGACCCCTTAGAAAATGAAGCAGATGACTAAAAGTTAAATTTTGGGAAAAGGCAAGAGTGTTAGGGCAGAATGAAGGAATGGGAGTGTTAGGAAGGGAGTGATCAACAGTGTCACAGCTGTAGACAGAGTCAGGAGAAAAAGTTCTGAGAAGAGAACATTGAATTTGACAATAAATAAGACAATATGAACTTGTCTTTCTGAATATATTTACTGAATAAGAGATTATTTTCAGTAAAATGACAGCATCACAAATCAAATTTCAAAAGGTAGAGGATACTAGAGAAATGGAAATAGTGGAAAGTTCATTTGTCTGGTGATAATTGCAGAGAGAGTATAGCAAAGCTAAGAATTTTTAAAATAAAAATATTCTATACATTTTGAGGGATACATTTTGAGATATATATTTCATATATTCATATTTCATATCTAGTAGAAGAATGGCAGCTGGCAAAAGCTAAAATGACATCAATCTCTAATTGAGGTAGTAACTTGTTATTGATGTTGCGTCTAAAAGGCATTTAGACAAGATGTAGAAATAGAGTTCTACATTAAAAGGTATCATGTCTACTTTCTAAAAATGAACTGCATCTATTTTTTGTTGCCTAATAAGAATTTACTCTGTAGAATAATGAATTACATTTTTTTGACTAGTGATAAAGTCACTAACTAGCTGAATAGTGATTTAAATGGAATATGTTTCTTGGCTCTATTAAATAATTGTCATGTTATTAATTGCTGAGTTAACACATAATTGCAAATATATGTTTAATACTAGAGTGTTAATTTCTCAAGCAACAGATGGAAATTGCCATAAAAATTAATGCACAGGGATATCTCATCTTGTTTTAAGTTTGGCTGTACTCCTGTGTTTACCTGTAGATTTAAAGGGAATGTGTGTTTGCATATTATTTATGTTCTCATTACATGTTCTACTGACGCTCGAACAGAAGTAATGAAGGATTTTTTGATGTAGTTAAGGTCTTTTTACACTTTAATTAATTAACTTTCTCAACTATTTCAAAATATAGAATTTGTTTTAAAATACATTTTAAACATACAAGGTACAGTATATTTATGCATAGGTTCCCCCCACTTACTAGATAAATGACTTTGGGCAAGTCATTTAATTAATTTATGTTTTAAGGTTTTTTCTGAGTGTCAGCTTCCTTGTCTGTAAAATGGGATGACAGTATCTCTTTTGAAGGCTTTTAAAATTTAGAAGTAATATATTTACTTAGCTCTATGTGTAGCCCATGGAAAGTGCATAATTATTGGTAACGGTTTTTGTTACTGCCTATATCACATGGAATTCTCCATAAACGTTAGTGTCTTTTCCTTTTTGCTTACAACCTATCCTCCACTGACATAAAATTTTAGTCAGTATATGGTATCTATCATCTAACATTAGGGAAGTGACCTTTGTTATCCCTGCTGAAATCAAGTAGGTGACCAAAGCCTAACAAAATTCATTTTGACTTCTTTGTACAGATTTACTGGAAGAGAGAGCTTTATAGGCTGAAATGAGTTTTCTCAAAGTGGATTGAGCATATACATGAAAATCATTCATAAGGATCAACCTTTGAGTATCTGAATATCTGCTCACAGGTTGTCAAACTCTGTAGTTCCAAAGGCTATATAAGTGAGAGAGGGGGATACTTTTTATTAGGAACATTTTCATACATCCACAAAAGTAGAAAAAATAGTATAACGCACTCCCACATGCTACCCATCATCCAGCTCCAAAGTCAGTTTTAACAGATACATTTCAGTCAAAAATTATGACATGTCTAGCTCTATGTAAGTGGTTCTCTAATTTATTATGTTTTAGTCCCATATCATGGGTGTAGTAAGAATCCCACTTTAACTTTTGCTCTTTGTTAAGTTTCTTTTACTATTAATTTGGATTAATAGTCAAAGATTTATTTTCCATAAGGATCATAAAAATTTTTTCTAGACACATTTTTAAATCAAAAGACCAAAAGAAAAATGCATGGGTAACTTTTTTTTTAAAAAAGGGAAAGAGTTAAATATGCTGGGTAGAATATATTTTGTTCTGTCTTTGTTTTTAAGGTTTGGCTTGAGCAACAAGTTTGATACTGAATTTCCCTCAGTTCTAACAGGGAAGGTAAGTGAGAGTTTGCTTTGAACTTTTCAATTCTAAAGCATTGTTTTATGCGTTATTCAGTGTTAATGACAAATGCTTTGACTCATTGGTAATGAAGTCAAATAACAGGATGCCTCCATACTTGGAAGCTGTGTTAGTCGTTAGTAACTGAAAGCTGTCTTCATGGCTACCAGCCTCTGACCAGTTATTTTGTTCATTAATGCCAGCCATTATTTATTTATCTGTGCAGCTTTTCCAGTTTTGCCTCTTTTTTTTGCAGCACAGGTAACTATAATTGTTTTCATTTAGGTCAGTAAATTCCTATGTTTTTAAAGTTATTTTTTGACTGTGTCACTCTATTATTTTTAAAGTGCCATATGGTATTTGTTATACATGAAAAGAATCAAATTTTTGTTTAGATATTTTTCTGCCTTTTAGATAGTTTGAGTTTCTTAAATTAGACTCACTGCAATGAATTATTGCCTTCTGTTCCTTGGTTCCTCTACATTCAATATCTTCTCTAGCATTGAGACTCAAAATTCAAGGACTTCCTAAGATTTGAAACTGTAAGTCTAGAAATGTAATGTACAGTGTGATGGCTGTAGTTAATAATATTATATTGTTTACTGGAAATTTGCTAAGAGAATAGATTTCAGATGCTCTTACTACACAAAAAAAGTAACTGTGAGGAGATGGGTATGTTAGTTGCTTGACTCATCATCATTTCACAGTGTATATGTATATGAAAACGTCATGTTGTATGCCTTAAAGATATACAATTTTAAAAAGACAGCATATTTGGAATATCTTTTACAACAGTAATGTTAACTTTCTAGATCCAAAGGAGAAGGCTCTGCCTGAGGCAAACAGTTATTTATACCCGTTTGTTGTTGAGGAAATGCAGAAGAGAGAAAACCCATTAGATTACAGAATACTTTATAATTTCCAAATGGAAACTTGGGTAGCTAAAATCATGATTAAAAGTAGCTTTTGTATTTTGGTGGATGGAATTTAATTTCATTCTGTTTAATTTTAGTACTAGAATAATGCTGTCAATATAAATTTCCGTTGTGTTTTAAAATCATTCCATTCTCTAAAGGTCTTTTATGGTATTTTAGTGTTACTTTTTCTCATATTGTCAGTGTGTATAGTGTGAATAAGAAATGGGAGAAATAAGAACATTAATAATTGTATTTTACATAAAGAAATTCTAGAAAGATATACATGAAACTATTAAATGTAATGACCTTTGATGGGAGAAGGGAAATGAGATGGATGGAGGCAAGGGGAAGGATGAGGTTGTTTTCTGAATATCTTTTAGTATTATTTTAATTTTTGAACCATGTGACTGTGTTACTTTTTGAACCTTAGTTTACTTTTAATTTGTTCATTCTTGTTCTAAACTCTTTGTGAATGGGATAAGATGCTTTTACTAATATTGGCTCCTTTTTTTCATGATGCATTGTTTTCAGCTGTTTACTCTCCTCACTTTTGGCTTAATTCCAATTCCCACGCACCCACCCCCACCGCCTCCTTAAGGGAAGGAGAGAGAAAAAGACAGCAGACCTATTTCTTTTTTCAAGAGGTACCTCTCGGATCATAAGAAATTCTGTTTAATTTAACCCTGATAGGTATTTTACACTTTACTTGCCTCATTATCCCCATGAAAAATGGGGAGCTAGTTTGAGACAGAAAAAAACTAGTTAAATAAGCTTTGCAGTGAGATCTGGGTTAGAATTCAAGTTCTGTCACTTACTGACTATGTGGCCTTGGAAAAGCCACTTCTCTGAGCCTCAGTTCTTATGTGAAAAATAGAGATGATGCTGATAGTTAACCTCACTTCTTGTTTTATGGAATAAATTAGAGCATGTGTAAAATCCTAGTACAATGTCAGGTACTTAATAGCTTCCCAGTGTTAGTTTGTGGTTGCTATTGACCATTCTTTATCAATGTACTGCAGTTTCACCCTGATTGTTTTTCCAGTTTACTCACTGGCTTCCAATTTTTAATTGCTTTTGCTACTTTTTCTTTATCTGAATAAAAATTTGTTCTCTGGTCCCACCACTAATTTGTCTGTCCTATTGCCTGTTGACCTTTCTTATCTCTCCTGAGGTATAATATCAAGTCCTTCCATAGAATAATAAGCAGGTGATCATAATCTCTGACTAAGTTAACATTAGAAAATATGTGGGCATTTAATTTTTAGAACACGAAGAACCCTTTGGTGTGAGATTTTGACCTCACTCTCCAGTATGTTCTACCTTCCTATCCTGATCACTTAGAATAATTCAGCAGTTAAAGCAATTGTTTAGATTTAGATTTATATTATATGAATTAATCATAAATGTTTTCTCCTAATGAATAAATTAGTTATGGAAATTTTTCTTGAATAATAACATATTTATGGAAAGATAGCAAATTTAATATTAAAATTAAAAAGAATGTGAATGAAAATGACTCCAATGGAAAACTTTTACTTTATGTTTTCTTTGATGCTGCAGCATGTGTTCTCTTGACAGTTACAGCCAGCTTTTTTTTTAGTATTGCCTTAATTTTAAAAAGTTTGAATTACAGGTCCAAAAAATTCTAGAAAATGAATAACCTAAAAAATATGTCAGTGAATAAAGTTTCCAGGCATAAGAATTAACTATTTATGGAATTGGCCAGTTTTATGTGCTCAAGGAGTCTTCAGAATATCTCTTCGCACCTCTTCATTTCTTTCTAAACCTTCTGAAACTAAAAATTCCACTGGCCCAACAGATAGTATAATTTTTTAAACTGGAGGAGTAAGAATGGTAAGGTGCTTTTGGTATGCATTCACACACCTAAATGATCTAGATATGAGCTGTTCTTAAAGACATGCATTCTTTCCAGGTGACAGTTTTTTTGTACTATGTATCATAATGACACGTGGATGTTTATTCATGTGTGCATTATTTATAGTGTACAAAATTTCTCATGTATTGGGTAAGGCATAAATTATACTGTGATGTTTTTCTTTGTGTTTGGTGATGAGAAAAACACTAAAAGGAATTCTGAAGGTCTGATTTTTTAAAGTCACGTGGTGGTAACATTAGTTTTCTTTTTCTCTTTAATGAGATACTTTTTCTCTAGTAGGCACTGTTTCATTTGTATAGGTTACTTTGGATTATCAAAATGCTTCTCTGATAACTGGGGAGAAGAGGTAAAAAATTTACATGAATCTGAAAAAAAAGTTAAAAGAAAAAAAAGGTCTGAGTTCCACACTTAACAGTCCTTGTGTTAAAATATTTTTAAAAATGAATAAATGCAATAGCTAAATGGAAAAAAATCTACGTTTTACAAAATCAGTCTTACAGCATGAATGAGATAGCAAATAACTTTTATGCCTGCTTGTGCTAAGCAAAATTGCAGAATGAATTCAGAAAACTTAAAAAGCCATTTTGACAAGCTCTATGGCTCAGTATATATTTTTTGCTTTTAATTTGTCAATACTTTTAATGCAAAGAAAAATATAATCTTTTAGAGTAAGTGCAGAAAAGATTGTTTTCCATTTCACTGGAGATAAGTACTCCTGTCGTGATAGGACATATCAAGCAGGTATATACACACAGATTCTGGTGACCAGAAAATGAAAGAAACACAGAACTTTAGAAAAGAAATTTAAGCTTCCGGCTCACAGCTTGAAACAATTAAATGGTGTTATGGGGAGATTAGTGTGCAGTGTTGGGAATTGTAAGCTATAAAAATCAACCTTTACTATTGTGATCCAATATGACAAGTGATTGATAGGGTTGTGTAACCAAGCATTGAAGGAGGCAAATCAGTCCTGCTGGGGTTTGCTTAGATTTTCTTCTGTTTGCAGGGTCTACTGCATCCTGTTGTAAAATATTATGACCCTTTCTCCTACCATCATGGTGTGTTTTTCTTTTTTCTTTCCAAAAGAGTCAAAAAGAAGGAAAAGTTTCTTTACAACTTACCATTCAGCTAGAAAGTAAGGGGCCTCCATCTACCCTTCATTACTAGAGATACTCAGTTTTGTGAAAGTAAATGAGTAAAATGTTATTAACTCTGATTCTACACAGTTAGCTAAATGTTTCTTTAACACTGTTTAAAATTGGAAGTTAACCAGTTCTCATTTTCTGTGCCTTTATCTCTGTTTTATGACTTTTACTGTTATTCAAATACAGATTTTTTTTCAAAGACAATTCTGGCTTCCTTTTAAAGTCAAAATGCAGATTTTAGTTTGTCATTTGAAAGTCTACGAAAAGTTTTTCTTTTCAATACATTTGTCTTATGACTTCAAAACATCTGAATTCTCATTTTTGGTAACTTGTATGTTTTTGTTTTTGTCTGTGATAAGAGAGTACAAAATGAGGCTGTTATGTGTTAAAAGTCGAAAACGTGAGGAAGAAGGAAAATTGCTACATTTGAAGAATGTTTTTGTTTTCATTTCCGAAGCATGTAATGAAAGACAAATTTTATATACATTGACATATAATTCATCTCTTTCACAATGTTTTAAATAAAAAGTCAGTTTTCCTTCTTCTCTTTCCTTTTATTCTCTAGCTTTAGTCTCCCTCAGGTTTCTAATGCTATTCATCCCTGGTGGAAGTGGAGCTTTCTTTCCTAAGGCTCCTTATAAGCACATTTTTTTGGACTTATTTCTGCATTTAGCCTTACCCTTTACTTTTAATTTTTTTCATCTGTGCTTGTACTCACTTTTAAATAAAAATTTAAATTCTAATTACAAGTACTTAAATTTGTAAATAGACAGATTTAATAATTTTATGATTTGCATGAGTTTATATCCAAATATGCCATATTTTAAAAATGTCTTTGTGATTCTGGATATACAACTTAAAGAGACTTAATAGTAATGTTATATTACAGATTAGAGCTAAATATATAAATATATTTTTCCTTATTTTAACTTCTATTTAGTTGTTTGGTGATTCCCTAGGAAAAAAGAAGTTCAGTGGATGAGGCTGGAGAAAATTATTCTAAGTGAAACAACCCAGGTACAGAAAGAGAAATGCCACATGTTCTCACTCATAACCAGGAACTGAATCCATAAATAAACAAATGAACAATAAAGAGAGGCAGAGAGAAAGAAAGAAAGAAACAACAATCACATTAATACATTGAACTTTTAGAAAACTAGAGGTGGAAAAGGAGGGGGGGAAGGAGGAGGGCTAATGAGGAATTGGTCAATGGACACAAAGAATGATTGTGTATCGTAATGATGAATAAGCTAACTATACTTATCTAACCACCACACATTCTACACAATTATTGAAAATCAACGTTGTACCCCACATGTATGTATAATAAAAAAAAATTAAATTAAATATGCTTATGAGTTTAAAAAAAGTTGAATATTGCAATTTGAGGAGGTAAATCTTAAAATAGTAACTTGGTACCTTGTTTTTAAAGAGAACATCTTTGGGTTTTTTCTCTGATGAACTGAAGAGCATTGCATCTGCATTCAAAATATAGCAGATGATCCTTTCATTTATAATTTAATGTGCAGCACAACCATGGACTACTAGTAGTTACTTGATCAAAACCCTTGCCTTCAGGTGAGATTTATGCAAAAGAGCTTTTCTTTTTCTCCAGATCTACTCAGAGACATTAATTCACACACTTCCTTTTCAAAGCACTTCACTCATGAGGTTCTTTCTAAGATGAAATTTCCATTCCTTGTGAGGTATATAACACAAAGATTATTATTCTCATTTTATAGATGGAAAACTAAAACTCAGAAAAATTAACTGGTTTAGCCTGGGATTTTTCATAGCTAATAAGTAACAACAATCCAGATCTCTTAGTTTATTGTCTAATGTGCTTAGCTTTTTAGTGTTTTCTGTTTTTGATTATGAGCATGTTTCTTTAAATTTACTTTCATATTTACCCCAGATATTTTGTCATTTAACTGGGATTCTTTGTAGACAGTGATTGACTTTACATCATGTTGCTGACAGTCTAGATTGAGAATGAAATTAGTTTACTTGCTCCATGTAAACAAAGTTTTGAGCCTTACAATTTCACAACTGTTATTGGTTAACATATTAGGAAGAGAACCAGATTTATGGGCTAAGCAATTAACCTTATTGGATAACATGAACAATTGTAATAAAGCTTATCTACTTAATGTTTTAATCATCATCATGCTGAATTCTGTGGTCATGTATCTTTGTAACATCTACTGATAGACATATGATTTGTAGTGTTGATTCTAAGACATCTTTATTAAAAGACAAAAGTGTAATAAGTTGATTTCTCTAGTACAATTTTTATTTGGAAGAGTAGTAAATCTCTATATTTTTTATACCTAATGTGCTAATGGGGTTTTTATTTTACAGCAGCTTGCTTTTCCTGACAATTTCATAATTTTGCTTGTACAGCCAGATGCTGAAATTTTTTTCCCATAAATTTTATAGCCTGACATCTTTCTAAATGAAAGTAAATTGTTTTTGTGATCCAGAAATGTGATTTAACTCAAAGCAAACTATTTTTAGTATACCTTCATATTGTATAACCTTCAAGCAGAATTTTGGTATAAATCCCGGGATGCCAGTCATGCTCATGCTTTTGAACTGACTTTGTCATTGCTTACAAAGAGGCACAAGTAGCCACTTCTAGGAATGGAGGTAATAACTAGAAATATTAAATTTGTGTATTTAAAGACTTTTCAACTTTCAAAATTTATAGCAGTTATGAGTCCATTTTATGGTGAATATTAACAGACCATTTTGAATGTAATCAATAGGCACTGTCTTTTGTTGTCTAACCAATGGCAAGTGTTAAAATTGTTCTGTTGTAAATTTGCCAGGGAAAAAAGATTTGAGTCTTGCCTTTTTAAAAGTAACCCAGGAGTATTTCCAGAGTCTAATTTTAGTTCCATTTCCTTTGGTAGTATTTGGGTTTTTACGGTTGTATTATGCTTTTAGTCTTATTCAACTTTTAATCAGAGTGACTGGAGACTGTAAATAATATTGCCTTAATAATGAAAATATTTAGAAAGAAAACTACTTGACAGGTATTGATGTCATTTTATTGTTGGTAATTTCAGAAGAGTGTTTCTAAACATCAGGCTAAGTTCTGTGAACATGAAATTATATTGTTTTGCTTTCCAATATCATCCAGTAGTATATGATCATATATTTGGGGGAGATGGGGAGGAAATATGTTTAGACATTTGTAATTCCTTAAAGTATTTGTAATAAGATAAACATTTTCCTTCGGTTTAGAGATAGATAGTAGAAAGCTGCCAACGAACTCTTAAAAGATTTTGCCCTTGTTGTAGGTGGCTCCAGAAGAATTTAAGATCAGCATTGGACGTGTGAATTCATGTTTGAAAAAGGCTCTCCCAGTCAATGTGAAATGGCTGCTTTGTGGTTGTCTCTGCTGCTGTTGCACACTGGGTTGCAGCCTGTGGCCTGTTATTTGTCTCAACAAAAGAGTAAGTAACCATTTTATTGTGTAATAATAAGAGCTAACATTTATTGTACACTTACTATGTGCCAAGAACTGTTCTCAAGTACTTCGCATGATTTATTTAATTCTTTTAACAATGCTTTCCTTATTTTAGAGATAGGGAAACTGAGGGAGAGAGAAATTAAGTCACTTGCTCAACCTTTATCAACACTTCATCAGTTAATATGGATTCTCAACATTGCATTAGATAAATGCAACGGAAGTGAAATACTTAAGTAAATATAAATGTACATGGGCAGCTTACTCTTTTTACAAAACCTGAAGCTATGACTTAAGGTATTTCCAAGTTATAGGTATATGGGAGAGCTTCTCTTGATCTGAAGAAAGGAAGTAGTGGGAGTAACATACAAAATTGGAGTCAAGGGGGGAATCTTTAGTTTTGAACATGATACAATAACATTCGAAAATAACATTACTAGTTATATCAGGGATTTAAGACTACTATCATAATTTTTAAAATTTCATTTTAGTTTTTGGAATTTTTTTCCCTGTGGAAAGATATCTTTAAAAATTTCAGTTGAAGCCAATGAGGACAACTAATTCATTTTACCTAAACTTCTTTTCCCAGTGCCACATTAATGAGTTCATTTAAACTTTAAAATAACAACTCACTAAATCAGAATCAAAATTACATCACCTTGTGGAGGAATAATTAGTAGTGCAATTGTTTTATTAAGACCAAAAATATTCCTAAGAAATACTCATTTATTCCTCTCCATCTTTCTCCCACCCTCTTTAATGTATACTTCAAAAAGATAAATACCTGTAATATAATAATGCCAACCCTATGACTTTTTGGATGGAAAAGTTAAGCTTTTATTGGTTCCCTTGATCATGACCACCAGAAGGACAGAGCTTTACTTTAAATAAAGTTTAGTTGACCGCCCAAGCAGGAGTAAAAGTGAGCTGCATCCCATGTGCCACCAGGTGCCCAGACCCAAGCCCTGGAAAGGCCTACCCACTGCCCGAGCAGGAGCAAGGTGAGTGGCTTCCAGCACACCACTGGGGGCCCAGACCTAAGCCCCAGAAAGGCATGCCCACCTCCTGAGCAGGAGCCAAGGTGGAGTACCACAGCCATTGTCACGTCTACTGCCACTGCAAGGATGGCTCACCACCACAGTAGCAGCCAGGGCCACACTACAGACAGTCCACCACACACTCGACTGCACTAATACCAGAAGAGTCACCAGCAGAGCATACAATTACAGGAGTAAGTCTTTCTCCTCAAAGCCCACTCCAGAGTAATGGAAGAAACAAGTGCTCTACCAGATGGCAAAACATCAATGAAAAAATACTAGAACTGCAGATAAACAAGAAGATATGACACCACTGAAGGAATACAGTAATTCTCAAGTACCAGACTCCATACAGCAGGAAACCCTTGAAATGTCTGAAAAGGAATTCTGAGCAATGATATTAAGAAAACTCAAAAGGATAAGAGAACACAATGAAACAAGAAAAAATACCCAAGATATGAAGGAGGAAATTTACAAAGAGATTAATACCTTAAAAAAGATTGTAGCAGAACTGAAACTGAAAGATTCACTCAATGAAATATAAAACAAAACAGAGAACTTGAGCAGCAGGCTAGAGCAAGCAGAAGAAAGAATTTTAGATCTTGAAGATGGTTTTTTAGAAATAACCCAGAAGGACAAAAAAAAGGAAAAAAGAATTTTAGAAAATGAAGAAAATCTAAGAGACCCTAGCAGACAACAAGTGCAGAAACATCTGAATTATGGGTATTCCAGAAGGGAAAGAGAAAGAAAAAGGCATTGAAAAGCTATTCAAGAAAATAACAGAAAAGTTCCCAGGTATAGGGAGAGACACAGACCTTCAGATCCAAGAAGCCCAGAGATCCCCAAACAGATTCAATACAAAAAATTCCTCTCCAAGACACATTATAGTCAAGCTGGCAAAGATCAAAGACAGAATCTAAAAGCAACATCAAGTCACCTATAAGGGAGCCCCCATCAGACTAACCCCTAACTTCTCAACTGAAACCTTACAGGCCACAAGAAAATGTGATGATATATTCAGAATATTAAAAGAAAAAAATTACCAGCCAAGAATTCTATACTCAGCAAGGCTATCCTTCAGAAAAGAGGGAGGAATAGTGTATTTCCCAGACAAGCAAAAATTGTGGGAGTTCACCACCACACCAACAGCCCTGCAAGAAATTCTCAAGGGAGTCCTACATCTAGAAACCAAAAAATGATAATCAGTATCACAGATACAAAAGAAAGAGCAAAACTTGCTGCTAAAGTAAAAATGCCAATGAGAAAGAGAAACTAAATCATGTCACCTCAAAAATCCAACTAACATTGCAAATGAAAAATAAAAGGGGACAAAAGGAACAGAAGATATTTAAATCTACATAGGAAAAGCAATTAAATGACAGGAGTAAAGCAATACCTGTCAATAACAACCCTAAATGTAAATGGATTAAAGTCCCCATTCAAAAGACACAGACTGACTGATTGGATTAAAAAGCTACACCCAAGTATATGCTGTCTTCAAGAGACTCTCCTCACCTGTTATGACACACACACACACACACACACACACACACAAAGAATGGATAGGAAAAGATATACCATGCAAATGGAAACCAAAAACGAGCAAGAGTAGCTAATCTTATATTGGATAAAGTAGACTTTAAACCAAAAACCATAAAAAGAGACATAGAAGACCACGATATAATGATAAAGGGGATCTATCCAGCTAGAAGACCTAACAATCATAAATATGTATGCACCCAACACTGGAGCACCCAGATATATAAAGCTAACACTCTTAGACCTAAAGAAAGAGATAGTCCCTAATACAGTAATAGTGGGTGACCTGAATACCCCTCTCTCAGTGTTGGACAGATCTTCCAGGCAACAAATCAACAAAGAAACACAGGATTTAAACTACACCTTAGACCAACTGGATGTAGCAGGTGTCTACAGAATATTTCATCCAACAACTATGAAATACATATTCTTCTCATAAGCACATGGAAAATTCTCCAGGATAGGCCACACGTTATATCACAAATCAAGTCTCAGAAAATTTTAAAAACTCGAAATCATTCCAAGTATCTTTTCAGACCAAAATGGATTAAAACTGGAAATCAATAACAAGCAAAACTCTGGAAATTGTACAAAATGTATGGAAATTAAACAACAGGCTCCTGAATGACCTGAGTTCAAGAAGAAATTAAACAGGAAATCAAAACATTTCTTGAAACTAACAAAAATAAAGATACGTCATACCAAAACCTGTGGGATACTGCAAAAGTAGTACTAAAAAGGAAGTTTATTGCAATGAATGCTTACATCAAAAGAATAGAAAAACTTCAAATAAATGACCTAATGCTACACCTCAAAGAACTAGAAAAACAACAACAGTCCAATCATAAAAGTAGTAGACAGAAAGAAATAATTAAGATCAGAGCAGAACTAAATGAAATAGAGACCCAAAAAAATGATACAAAAGGTCAATGAAACAAGTTGGTTTTTTCAGAAGATTAATAAAATAGACAAACCATTAGCTAGGTTAACAACAACAACAAACAAACAAAAAAAAAAACACAGAAGACCCAAATAATAAAAATCAGAAATGAGAAGGGAGACATTACAACTAAACCACAAAAATTCTAATTATCATTACTATTATAAACAACTGTATGCCAACAAATATGAAAACCTGGAGGAAATGGATAAATTTCTGGACACATACAAACTAGCAAGACTGAACCAAGAAGAAATAGAAAACCTGAACAGACCAATAACAAGCAACAAGATTGAAGCAGTAATCTGCAATCTTCCAATGAAGAAAGACCAAAGATCAGATGGCTTTACAACTGAACTCTATCAAACCTTTAAAGAGAGATAAGTACCAATTCTCTTTAAACTCTTCCAAAAAAATTGAAACAAAAGCCATTCTTGCAAACTCATTCTCTGAGGCCAGCATTACCCTGATACCAAAACCAGACAAAAATGCAACAAACAAAGAAAATTACAGGCCAATATCCTTGGTAAACACAGATGGAAAAATCCTCAACAAAATATTAGCAATCAGAATACAGCAACAATAAAAAAATTATGCACCATGATCAAGTGGGATTCAACCCAGAGATGCAAGGATAGTTCAACATACGCAAATCAATAAATGTGATACACCACATCAACCAAATCAAAGACAAAAATGATGTGATTTTCTAAATAGATGCAGAAAAAGCATTTGACAAAATTCAACACCCTGTCGTAATATAGACTCTTGGCAAATTAGGTATCGAAAGAAATTATCTCAACAGAATAAAAGCCATCTACAACAATCCAGTTGCCAGTATCATCTTGAATGTGAAAAAGCTGAATGATTTTCCCTTAAGAACAGGAACAAGATAACGGTGCCCACTCTTACCACTCCTATTTAACATAGTATTGAAAGTAGTAGTCAGAACAATCAGGCAAGAGAAAGAAATAAAGGGCATCCAGATTGGAAGGGACGAGGTCAAACTTTCCCTGTTTGCAGATAACATGATCTTATATATAGAAAAACCTAGACTCTACCAAAAAACTCTTAGAGCTGATTAACAATTTTAGTAATGTGCAGGATACAAAATCAACACCTCAAAATCAGTGTTTTTATAAACTAATAACAAACTGGCAGAAAAAGAAATCAGGAAAGCAATCCCATCCACAACAGTCACCAGAAAAATAAAATACCTAGGAATCAATTTAACCAAGGATATTAAAGATCTCTACAATGAGAGCTGCAAAACACTATTGAAAGAAATTAAGGAGGATACAAAAAGGTGTAAAGACAGACCATGCTCTTGGAATGGAAGAATTAACATCATGAAAATGTCCATTCTACCCAAAGCAATCTACAGATTCAGAGCAATTCCCATCAAAATACCAATGACATTCTTCACAGAAGTGGACAAAAGAATCCTAACATTCATATGGAACAACAAAA